TGGAGGCATCTCGCAGAGACACGAGGGAAGGAGGCGAATAAAGAGGCTCTCTTTGGGGGCACTCAGGTCGGAGCTTACAGCTGGAAAAAGAGAATGCCTGCTGGAGCTCCCACTCCAGATCCCATGCAAGCCTAGGGTGGGGTAGGGCCGAAACCCAGTGGCGTTTAGGACGCCAAACCTAGGAGTGAGGGTGAAAAGAAAAAAAAAAAGGCTGAAATGGGAGCGAGCGCGCGCGAGTCTTTCGTAGCTCTCCCTGCCCACATCCCTTTCCCAAAGGCTTCTCTCGCCCCGGACTCTCACTGGGGCGGCAGGGACGTCTTCCTTTGGCTTTTATTTTAGATCTTCAAAAAATATCAAAAATAGAAAAATAAAAGGGAAAGGAGAGGCTCCTCGCTGGGGTAATAGAAGCAACAGAGCTTAGGTGGGGAGGGAGGAGAGTGGGAGAAGCAACTCGGAAATCATTATCTGTTGGTTAAAACCTGCCTGGGGTAAAATTTCAACTCGATTTTATAGCCTTCTATTATGACGCAAAGAAAAATTTACGACCCTTGCTTGAAAAGAGGGCCGGGGCCTTTTCTCGCTGGTTTAAGAATAGGCGGCAGATGCCTTGACAGCGACCATTGTTCCCGGTAGACACAGGCGACCGAGCAACCTCGGCCCGCGTGCGCCAGGCGTGTCCCCAGCCGGGTCGGTTTTTTACAACTCCTGTTGTCTCGCAGCAGCCTGCGCGCACCCGAGCCCCTCACCCCTCGCACCCTAGCCCTTCGCACACCCTCAGATCCTCACCCATACCCTCTCTCTCTCTTTCTCTCTCGCCCTCACTCTGTGTCTCTGTTTCGTTCTCACACACACAACACATTCGGCCGCTCTCAGTAATTTTTCATAAGTGCAAAGCTTTGCTGAACCAAAGGTCACCATCCAAGCCACTAACAACTTCTCTCTGGCGCGCGGTTCCAAATCAGGAAGCAAAGGGAACTATTTGTCAGCGGCCCTGACAGCTAAGTTCATTAAGGATTTAAATCCGATGAAATAAAAGTCACCAAAATATTTACCTGCCGGCCGGGCTCCCGCGCCCGCCGCCGGGGGCCGGGGGTGGAGGGCCGGGGGCGCCGCGCGGCCCCCCTCGGCGGGTGATATTCTTGGGATCCCTGCACTTTCCAAGTCGGAGAGAGCCCTTTGCGTGGCAGATTAATGACGACTCCGTGTTTCTTAAGGGACGTGCTGAATTAATTATTTCGCCAATCACGTGGTCGGGACTTGTAGAAATCTATTCTTATCATCTTCCTCGCACTTTGAAAATTCTCCGGGTTATGAAAGGCCCTCCCCCGGCTGCCGGCGAGCCCCGGCCGCCCAGCCGGGAGCGGGGGGCAGGGAGGGCTCCCCAACATGGCGGGCGGGCAGGCGGGAAGCGCCGTCTGCCGAGGGTCCCGATTTACTGTACTGTACTCAGCGGGCTCAGCTATGGACCCGCTTCCTTCTCATCCCTGCCGGTGATTCAATACACACAACGGTATTGATGTATTGGTGGGCACAGGAGGAGCCATTAACCAGAAGACGGGCAGAGGACAATCATAAAATGTGTCTGAATATTTAAACTTCTGTCTGCGCACTTATAAATACACATGTCCACGCGTCTGGGGCGAGCCCTTCCATATATTAAGGACACATGTCTGATTTTATGCATTCTGCTCATTTCCTGTCTTGAGCAAGCCCCCCATCTATTTTGGAGCTCCTGTCTTGGCCCCCTCTTCAAGGCTGAGGCCAATTTGTGGAAAAAGTCCTTGCGATAAAAATAGTGCATGGTACTTTTTATAGTGGGGAGTGTTTATTGTCTGAGGGGCGGGAGGGGTGCAGGCAAAGAGGGGCAGGTGGTGATGAGCAGCACAGAGTAAGTAAGAGCCCAAGACTGGAGGCCACCCGGGTCAGGTCAGAGAAGCAACCAGCCAGCCTCAGCCCAGCTCAGAACCAGCAGTGTCTCCCAGCATCTGCAGAGAGGAAGGTTTCCCATATAACAAATCAGGAAGACCTCCTCTGAGGGCTCCTAGACTTAAGGGGGGCTAGGACTGCCCAAGGCAGAAAGCCAGTGTGGAGCCCCCTATTAGCCCAGACAGTTAATTTCTGTTCTTCCAACAAATAATGCCCACCACCCTGCAGCATGAATCCAACCTTAGGCTTCCCAGCGCTCACGAAATATTATGGCCAAATTGGGAATGCGTGTATATGGGAGAGGGGACAATAATTGCCTTGTTGAGCCTTGCAAGTTTTAACCTTCATACCTTAGGCACAGAAACTGGTGCCTAATTTATTGCAGAAAATAATAAGATAAATTGTTTATATTGAATGTTAGCTTTTAGAAGACTTAACAAAGAATGCTTCTGTCAAGGCACCAAACAGAAGGGAGGTTTTGCTACACCTTTTATTATTTCAAATATAGATCACGAATTACATCAAAACTACAAGCAACAATTAGTATAAATAATACTTTAATCAGTGGCAGCGAAACATTGGTCTATTCTATTAAAAAAGCATCTCTTGTGAACAGACTCCGTGGGGCTGACTGACAATGTCATCTCACAACAAAAGGCTGCAATGGACAGAGTGAGATGGGAGTCAGAGGAGCAGTGTCCTCAGCAAACACTTCACTCTCTCCTAGTCATGACCCAAACACAGGTTTTAAAAATAACAACACCAAAACAAACACTCTGGCTCATATTTGGGGGGAACAAACCAGAAATAAATAATAGCACATGGGTGCTGGAGCCTTTTCACATCTAGGCTTCTCCAGAGTACATTCTCAGATGGAAACTCATTTCCTTCCCTGCCTTAGGTGGTTGGGGGGCCCTGACCCTTTCCTGGTCCACTCCTGTGGGCCCAAATGGATACTGGGGTCCAAGTGAGACTTCAGGAATAGGAGCTGCCCAGTGGGCCATCCAGGCCCAATTAACATTTCAAAAGACAATCCCTCAAGGCTGAGCAGGAGAGCTGAGACTTATAAACAAAGAAGTTGTTTCTCTGATTAAGTTACTTTCCAAAGTAGTAGGCCTATGTTTGAGAAGGAGCTGGGGTTCTCTCCAGGAAAACATGCCTGTTGGCTTTCCTTTTGGGGCTGTGGTAAAGGCATATGGCATTTGGTCTGGAGCTGGGTGAGTAACCAGAACTTCTGGAGAGGGAAAATGTATACAATAATCTCTGTAATATCTATATAGTTGGATGTTGTGAAAATATAGTTTCCCTAAGGAGAAGGTTCAATGTATTCACGTTTGGGTTTTAAGAAAGAATCTTTAGCAACTTTGTAATTTGCCTAAGGATAGCGGCTCTTTTCAAATCAAAAGACAGCTCTCCATGTTAGAGGGGGAAAAAAAAAAAAAAAAAGAAGGGTGGTTAGAGTCCAAAAGGTTAAGGGTTTAGAGGTCAGTCCTCCCGGCTGAAATACAGCTAATCGAATAGAAAATTTGTCCTCTGGATGAACCTGATTCTGTAATTTAGCCGAACTTCAGTAAAATACCTTTTCAGCTTCTCAACGTGAGGGCGTCAGAAAAAAAGACGTCTTGACTATGTATGAACTCTGTGCTTTTTGTCATAGAAACAATGATGCAAATAATGCAGGAATATCCATCTTTAATATCCCGACGTGGCGATATTCAAGTATTGCCATGTGCAAGTCTGAGAGCCAGGCTCACCCCAAGCAGGAACAAAGAGCTGTCCCCAGGGTCTAATACAAAAGACCAAGGCTTGAAGATACTTCAGAGAAGCAGAATTTCAGCCTAGGGACTCCAGTGAATACCTGCTCTCAGCTCTCAGGAGACACAAAATCAAAGATCACTCCTGTAGAGAGTCTTTTCCCCCTCCACTAAGTATATTTTAAAGATTTCCACTGAAACTTTCTAAAGTGTTCTGAAGCACTGAAAAAAGTAACCTCATTAAGAATTAAGTTCTAAGTTTACCCCTTCCCCCCCACCCCAACCTCTTGGTCACTTTTTGGTAGGTGAAGTCAGGGGTCTCTGTTTTTGGAGCCTGAAGCTTTAAGGTGCAAACTTTCGAAGACTCTTTCATTTGAGTACATGAACTCTGGCTATTACCTTTGTCTCTTTCCCTCTTATCTTCGGGGTCAGCATTTTAGAAAAATGAGCTTTGAGCTCTTCCCAGGCATGACATAAGAAAAATGAAATGACTAAAGAACATCTCTCCTGTTGTTAGACAGTGATTGTTTTTGAATCACTATTTCCAAGGCAAAGAAGAGGGCCTGAAAACTTTTACACCTTTGCAATTTCTGCTTTTAATTAATGTGTGAAGAAAACTGCCTTGAGTTTGTTAAAAAAAAAAAAAAAACATAGGAGACAAAACACCCCTAAGACCAACTTCAGGGGACTTCTAGATGCAATTAGTTTCTTTTTTAAAATAAGACTTCCTCACCTACCCACTGTCTTCCAACTGCACAGCCCCTCCCCCATATAGGCCATAACCAATCCCTATAATATACTGCAATGTGGAGTGGTTGGGGCATTTGGAATCCCGTTGGAACAGAAAATTCCGTCATTATCTGATGACCCACAGCATAGAGGTTTTGTTTTCATTCCCCAGAAAGAAAATGTTGGACCATTTGTTTCTTTTTTCCTTTTTCCTTCAACCACCCAGAACTGCTTGTAAGCACAGTGCTGAAAAAAAGCACATGTGGAAATATCTTTTCAAGAACTCAACTTTTAATGGCTCCTTCACTTCCCTCTAGAAGGGTTAAGGGCCCCCTACACCTATTTCCAGGGAAGAAGGAGGAGTGGAGTTCAAAATGCCAGTTACAGCCAGAAGCAAGTCCACACATCTCTGATTCAGCTCCTTGAAACTCAGCTCCTTTCACCCTCTTAAGATTTTTGGCATGAAGATGTCAGTTGTTTTCTGTAGCCCATCCCCCCAAAATAAATATTTACACAAATATAATCTAAACATAAAATAACCCGTTTCTACTTCCTCCTTAGACTTATTTCTTTGGGCATAGGGCCACTGAGAGCAGAATATTTCTTGTTAGCACACTGGAAATTATACAGTCACCCAGAAAGTTCAGCAATTCTGGCCCAGCTCTCCTGCTCTCATTGAAAGCACCTAGGTGTGTGGGGGGGCAACTTTCTGCCTCAACTCCCCCACATTACTAAACCACAAAACTCCCTGGAGGGGTGGAGTGGGGGGACAATGTCCAAAGCACACTGGGATAAAGCATCCAACCTTCATTTGCAAATTCAAAATCCAACAGCAGAGATTTTCATGAGTTTAATGACTCGCCGGGGTATTATGTTCTCAGTAGCTCCTGCCATATGATAATATACTTAGAGCATCCCGCCACCCTCCCACCCCCATCCCCACTCTAGGGAGGGGGCTGCCCTCGGGCAAGATGCTAACCTAGTCCGAGGGCGGCTTGCATGTCCCAGGTCCACCCCACAGTACCTTAGAGCCCAGCGAGGTGACAGCAGGCCCGGCCTGCCCCCACAGCTTCGGCTCAGCCTGGAGCGCAGGGAGGGATGGGCCCAGGGTCCCCACTTCTATAAGGTCGTCAGGTCTGTGTGGTGGTCCTTGGCCATTGGCTGCAAATGCTGGCCGGGGGCAACTGAAGAGGAGCAGGAGGACGAAGAAGATGATGATGATGACCTGCCCTTGGTATTGGGCAGCTTGTGGTCTTTTTTCCACTTCATCCTCCGGTTCTGGAACCAGATCTTGATCTGGCGCTCGGACAGACACAGGGTGTGAGCAATTTCAATCCGACGGCGCCTCGTCAGATACCTGTTAAAATGAAATTCCTTTTCCAGTTCTAGGACTTGCTGCCGGGTGTAGGCGGTCCGGGAACGCTTGGGCTCCCCGCCGGTATAGTTGGGGTTCACTAGGAGACAAAATAGACAGTAGAGCCAGGTCAGCACCAGGCCACTAGTTAGGCCCCTTGCCTCTGCAGCTCACTTCCTGGCGCGCCGAGGCCCGCGCGGCCCTCCCCGCGCGCTCCCAACTCGCCGGCTTCCTCCCTCCCACCCTCTCGCCGGCACACACCCTCACTCCCACCCACCCCTCCACGCACCCACACCCCCAGGCTCACGGCGCAGGATCTCCAAGTGCGCTCCTTTCGCGATGGCCCACCCAGAGCTCCGGATCCCAGAGCATTTTGGAAATGCCCTTCTACTCCGCTGCCTTCCCTCCGCTCTGAAAATGGAGTCCTCCCCCACCCCACCCCCATCCCCACCCCCTTTTGCGCCCACAGCCAAGCAGCCAGCCACATGGTCCCGGCCTGCTCCCTCAGCTATAAAAATTTATGGAGAGAGTAATTGCGGCGCCCAAGGAAGCTTCACACGCCCCCCACCCACTCGCACCCCCTCCCAGGAACCCAGGTCAACGGGCTGGAGGGTGAGGGTGGGGGATGGGAAGTCCCTGGCCCCGCGCCTTACCGGAATTCACGTGCACCTTCTTCATCCAGGGGTAGACCACCGCCGGCTGCTTGAGTGCCGTCCCGGGGGGCGGCTGCTTGGGGCCGCCAGGCTGGCTGCAGGCCCGAGCGCCGGGCAGGGGCGCGGGCGGGGGCGCCGGGCACGGCTCTCCCGGGGCACCGTAGTGACCGCCCGGGCCACTCTGCTCTTGTCCGTGACCCCGCGCAGGCAGCGCTGAGCCGGGCCCGGGGCCGCTGCCTCCGAAGGGTTGCTCACCGAAGTCGGGCCGCGGGTAGAGCCCCGGGGGCTGGAAGTCAGCGCCCTGGGCGCCGCTGCCGTAGTAGTCAGCGCCCTGCTCTAGGTAGCCGCCCTGCAAATACTCCTCGCACGGAGGAAACTTGGGGTCCACATACTTGGAGTTCACCATATACGAACTCATGGCCATTAATTTCAGAAGGTAGAAAATACTAATTTTTCTCGTGTTGTCTTTTTTTCTCCTTCCATAGGACCCTCCTACTTGCTGTCAACTGAATAAAGTTGGGCGGCCATGTGACCAGGCCAGCCAATGGGGAGGGAGGGAGTTTATCACCGGGTTGGTGAGCATCTCATAATTTTCACAAATTTAACTAAATAACATACGTGTAATCAAGTGACTTGCCTTGCCACATTTGAAGGTCCCCCGCCAGATGTTAATGTAGTTCTAATTCCCAGCACCCTATTCCCAGAAGGTAATCTCAGCTTTTGTCTGCCACTGACTTTGCTCACCTCTCATGCCCTCTCCACTCACCATGGCCTGAAGCAGCCCCCCAAAGTGGGCACAGTTCAAGGGAGAATAAATCCTCCTACTGGGGTGCAAAGCAAGGAAGGGTGGGTGGGCAAGGTGACCTCTGTATTTGGCAAAGTGTCCTAGTGGAGCAGCCTGCCCGCTTGGCCCGCGGGAACTGAGACTGCCATACAAAGACCGTGTCCTGGCTTTGTCTTCATCAGGGTCACCCAAAAGTTACCAGAATCTGGCGGGCTTGAATTAAGTTAGGCAATGAGTAACCACCATGCTTTCTCCACTGCCCAGACCAGGTTGTTCCTAGCCTAGACTGGGCCTTTCTGATACAGCAGGAGGCCCTCACGGTCCAGGTTCTGGCAGCTGAGGGTTATAGCAAGAAGGAGGTGAGGGGACCTTCATCTTGTCCAAATGCACCCCAAAGGTTCCCAATGGACTTCCCAGCTAGCTTTCTTCCCATACAAGGGCCTTAAAAAGCCATGCAGCTCCCATTTGGGTGCCCTGCATAGCATGCTTCTGGAGGGCAGTGCTGCAGCGGGACCTAGCTGGCCTTTCACCTCACTCCTCAGTACCCTAAAACCTAGCCCTGCTTCCTTGCAACCAATTGAGCTTTCTCTTTGCAGCAGCACTCACTGGTGAGGTGCTTCTTGAGGAAAAGGCTGCATAGTGTCAGGAGGCACCTTTAATCCTGATCCTCCTGGAGTCCAAGGAAAAGAAACAGAAAGAGATGTCTGACCCACACCCCAACACCGGCTGCCTCTAGTCTTCCCCTCCGTCTCTGGCTATGTCGAAGAAATTTTTGTGAAGTTTTTGCATCGACCATATATTCCCCTAGAATCGAATCTGTGACTATGTGGATACCACACAAATTCGGTTCTACAGGGTATATATAGACAACGGTTACAACCTCTGGGTCCTGCCCAGGGCGGATACCCAGACGGCTGCCAGCCCTGATCTCTTCCTCCGAGCCACCACCAGCTCCAAGAAGCCCAGCTTTCAGGGACAGTTCAGGTAGCCTGAAGCGCTTGGTGACAATTCGCAGCAACCAGTTCTCTCATTCTTTTGCCAGGACCAAGGTGACCGAGAACAGAGCAGCTGAGAAATCAGGACATGCTTAAGAAATAAAAAAAGAAAAAAAGAATCCATCCCAGAGATGGCGGCTTTATTACCCCCTCTCGGGATTCAAATAGCCTCTTCCCCTTATCAAGTAGTCCCCCCGCCCGCCCGCCCCCCCCCCCCAGAAAGGAGCAAATGCCCTCAGCAACAAAAGAAAAAGAGTCAAGAGGGGAAGATCCCTAGCTATTCCCTTTCCCGCTCCTGGCCGAGTCAGGTTAGTGGCCACAGTTAGCCTTCCCAGAAGTCGCACATTTACCTTCCTGGGCCCTCAGCCCGGCTGGCCTCTCTGTCCGCTGCTGCTGCAGACCCGGAGGCAGGCGCTGCTCGCACGCATCGAGCCGCCCTGGGCTGAGACCGGCGCGCTAATGGTGAAGGGCAGGGCGAGGGGTCATTCGAAATCATTTACAAACATATCACAAAGTTTCATTATTTTTGCTTTGCCGACAGCAGCACACAAGAGTACAAAAGTTCACGAATTTCGCCCGCCCCAGCGCCTCCGCGCTGTCCAGGGCTTGCCCCTCATTCAGGGCATCAAGAGCGCAGACGCACTCAGGGGCCAGTCCGATTTTAGGGGCAGAGTGATGCCCTGGCCGGAGTGGGGCTTTTCGGTGCCTAAAAGGCCGAAGAGGTCCAATTTTTTGTTGTTTTGATTCTCTCTCCCTTAATTCAAAAACTACTTTCAAGTCTCAGGCCTGGGTCTGATGGGTGGGGCAGAGTGACTCCCCCGCCTAAAAAAAAAAAAAACCTGGCAAAATCCGTTGCTTGCTCTTACGACGTACTTTGCGCGATACCCCGCCCCCCTTCATTTCTTTGCTTCCACCGTTTTAGCTGTTTCGAGGGGATTTCCAAGGTGCCAGTTATAACAGAGGTTCCAAGGCTGCAGAATCTGTTTTTTCCAGAAGAGTCTCCCCAATTTTCCTAATGCCAAACGCTTTCACCTACTCGTCTTCCTGTGGACGCTGGGCCTACCTAGGCTTTATCCAGACAAATTGGGGATGCCTGCTGGGCTGGGTTAGGACGGGGGCGAGTGTACACATTTTCATATTTGTTAGACGCTGTGACCTGTATTTCACCTTATTGCTCGACTTGTTCAGACAGGTCAAAGCCAATGAGTTATTGATGAACAAAAGCGTTAAATATTCACCTCCCGTTCAACTGCCCATACTAATGCTTTTGATCTCTCTGGCTTTTTGTGCTGTGTTCAGCTACAAGGCGCCAAATGTGGGTTTGCAGGCAAGCAGCCTCGGCAGAGATAAGCACTCAGATCCAGGGCAGCAGAAAAAGGGGGGTGGGGCAAGACCATGGGGATCTGGGGGATACCAGATTTTCCATCCTGGAGCCCAGAGCCCGTTTCACTTGAGCCGGCCTGGCTCATTGAGGGAAACTACGTGCTAGGCGGATCTCAACTTCTTCCGGTGAGCACAGCCCCCCAGGGGGCCGACTAGGCTACCCAGCCCAGCAGTGTAAAGAAACCTGGCCCTGAGCCCAGCCTCAGCTTTTCCGACCACGAAAAAGTGGTCTTACAAGAGAGGGAGGACTCCCAGCTCCCGTACCCCTTGCATATCCCATCTTCTAGTAAAATCAGCTCGGTTTTGCAGTGAGAGAAGGGCCCCGATTTTTTCCTTGACTCTCCCACTACATCTTAGTGAGACTGTCCTTCAGGAAACTGCGCAGGCCTCCTCAGAACTGCACCTGCCTTCCGCAGCATAGGTACCTCAGATCCAAATTCCCAGTTAAGGAACCCAAGAGCCGCTGGCACTATCCCACCCAATCCCGCTATGTTTCCTTATTATCCCAGCATCTCTGGCCCAGAAATTCTTGAACCCATGTTACAGAAAAGTAGAGGTGAAGAAGAAGGACGAAATCCTGGTAGATCTGCGGGTATCCCAAATCCAGGGCCCACACCGCTGGGGTTGGGGGAGGGGCAGGACAGGGACATCCACGTAAAGCTCAGAATTCGCAGCCCTTCTTGGAAGCGGGCCAACTCAACACACCCGAAGCCATCAAGGGTTACATTTTGGTTTTGCTTTTAATAAAATCAAATTAAAAATTACAAAACCCCCAGAAGGTCGGGCTAGACTGGGCCGGATGAAGCTGGGCCGGGCTGCAGAGGGGGATCGCGTTGCCTTGGTGTTTACTATGTTAGGTCGAGCAGGAGGAGATGCTCGCCGCAACTCTTTAACAGAGCGGGCTGCTAATTAGCTGCAAGCCTGTAGCCAAGGACAGCACTCCGCGAAGCTGCACCTGTTCGAACCACAGAAGCCTGGGAAGGCCAGGAAGGTCCGGGGAGGCCCAAGAAACAAGGGCTAGACCCTGCGACTGGTTCCTTTAGGCAGGTGACTGTGAACTAGGCCCCAGGAAAGCTTCCTAGAAGCTCAGTCCAGAGCTTCGACCTCCCAAAGCGAGGTCTCTCGGCCAGGACAGGCTTGGGGAGGCAAGACCGTTCTTCCACCCGCCCAGTCCGCTGGCCTGTGTGGCCCTTCGCCCACCTCCTCCCGGCCTTAGTACCGCCTTTTCTCGATTCGGAAGAAACGGGAAGATACTCACAGCAGCGCTCTCTCTTGGTCCGGAACCTGTTGCAATGAAAACGGGGGTCGCTTAAATCTCACAGGATAATAAAGTAGAAATAAACGGTACACAGAAAAATGACAAGGCTCCCCCACACCACCAATACCCAGCCCCCCCCCCCACCCCGGGGAACAGCGCAAAGTTCTCCGTAAACCGCGGGCAGTCCTCAAGAGCAGACCCAGAGAAAGTTAGGTGCCCATCACCTCCCCTCACTCCATGCACCCTCGGGCAAACCCTACTAGTTGTTTGGCCCCTGACTCTGACAGTAACAGGGTTCCTCAGTGGGGAAACGGAAAGCGGGAGAAAATGGGCCTTTGTGTGTTTCCTTCTGCGCAGTCAGTCCGGTAGGTGCAGGTCCACTGGGAAGGGGATAGCTTCCATCCTAGTTCTTGTCCCTCTCGCTGTGGGAACAGGTCAGCCTCCTTTTCCAGTTTCAAATTCTTCAGCCCCACCCAGTGGCCCCCCAAACTTGCCCTCTCTTCCCCAAAGACAGATCAGAAACGGCTGGGACTTGCCTTTCTACTTCTCCAATTCAAAACAAAGAGCGATTTCCAGGGAGAAATGAGGACCCAAATGATAACCAAGGAGGAGGAAAATCAATGGGTTTAAGGTAATTGGCAATGCTTTAGATTATTATCTAAGCCTATAGGTATGAAATCAATTTTTCAGCATTGCTGAAACCCACAAACCCATCTTACAAAGCAGTGGTCCTCTTAGGGGTTGGCATCCCACTCTAAGTTTTTAGTCATCTCCAGTTTTATTATAGGATAGCAATCTGCTGTGAGAAATCTCAGGGCAAAGCCATCTCTACACTCATCCTCTCTCTCCCTACCCACATTACTACTGTTTTATTCCACTTCTCAAATAGATGCCCCATCACCAGGAGGAGAGAGGCAGTAAGTCCTGCTCCTGAGGTGGAAGCCCTAAATTCCTAACTTTCCGTGTACAGAAGGGAGTGGAAGAAGCCCAGAGTTCCCATTCTGTTTGTTCATTTAAGTTTAGGCTAAAATTAGGATTAACTTCGATAGGACTTCCCCAGGCAGAAAAGTAGGGGTAGAGAAATCCCCTGCCTCTGGAGTTGTTGTGGAAAAAGTAGTAAGTGACTTACTGTTTTCTTTCCTACTGGGTAGGGGAGCTGGAGTAGAACTGTCTCCTTCTGAGCCCGGTGCTGGCTGGAGCCTCTCACTTTCCTATCGCTGCTCCAGGAACCAAGCATCTGCACTTGTATGCTCTTAACCTAA